TGTGGGGCAAAGGCAGAGCTCCACTCCACTGCTCTGGGTGGAACTATTCCAAATGGAGCAGATTAAAAAAAGGAGCCAGGAAGCAGAGCAATCAAATATTTCGCAATGCTAATCATTGTTGCCACAAGGGTTGTAGGGTCTGATTTTCAAAACATGATCCTTATCCATGTGATGGGAGGGAGGGAAATGTGGAAAATGTCTGCTTTAAGGAGCAGAGACTTTATGGACTCTTTTATGTCCACAGAGAATAGGCACAATCTCAGTTTTAAGGTCCATTGTGAAAGACTAATAAATTGTGTGTCATTTTACTTACCTACTTTGGCTATCTGAATTGCTAAGGCAAACCTGCTGGATTTGTGTCTCTGAGTCTAGTCAAACCAGGTGCTGAGATCACTAAGGTAACTCACCTCCTCTCCCCTCCCTTCCCTCTTGTTCTTTTTAAAGCAATTCTCTAGTCATGCTGCAAAAATCCTATTTGCTTTGTGTTTATCTGATCTTCCTCTGGTACTGGGAGGGGCGGGGGGAGAGAATTACCATCTACATTGCAGAATTGTAATTATAAAATTTCTGCTGTAGTCTTCAAACTGTATTCAGATAATTTCAAGGGTACACAAGTGGCTGAACACACAGCCCTCTGAACTAGCAATCAGTTGGCATTTTTATTTTTTTGAGAAGCTGGCAAATTGAATTGGGAAAATTCATTCTGATGCCAGCAGGGGGGGTGCTCTTGACTGCTGCCAGTTAAGAGATTCATTGAAAGTGCAACATAATGGGAAGGGAGTTTTGTAATAAGCAGTCATAAAGCTCTCTTGATTAACAGGCCTGTTAGGTTAAGAGGTGCATTGTTCCGGTACTTCATGTTGCGATGACAAGAAGGGCAGGGAGTGGAGCTAGCTACAGCAAGTCATGCCCTTTGCCTCACAAAAAGGAAAAAAAGGGGGAAGAAAAGCAGTGCTACTTTTTAATGAGAGAAGTTGATAGCTGCATTTCTGTGCTTACTTGGTATCAGTTTTCCATTATTACAACCCAACACTAATATCTTTTTGCTCATTATTGATGCCCATGAGATTCCAGCCTGCCGGAACCCTGCTGAACTATGGCGCAGCGGCTAAATGTGGTGTTTCAGTCACGAATGCAATGTGGTGTAGGTTAAAGGTTTTAAAGTACTGGATGCAGTCAGATCTGCCTGTAGGCAACCATTTGAAATAATGCAGGAATCTGAAAATAGTGTATGTACTTCTCCTAAAAACACCTTTTGAAATTGTTAACACATCTAAACTAAAGTAATCTCACCATTTCATGTAGCAAACTATGAATGTCCTAAGGACTTCTATAAAATTCCATAGAAAAATTTTAAATACAGACCTTGGGCTGGCCAAATGTCTTTGAGCTAGTGCTTTTACGTCACCATGAAGGAGACCCCGGGCTCAGTTTCTGGTCTTGGCATAACTATCAGCTGCACCTTTTATAAGAGATGGGTCTGATTTTAAATCCAGTTTTATGGCTCGCTGTACCTGGCCCAGCAGGGATGCACTTTCTACATTATAAAATTACATCATGTATGACCACGGTGGTAAACAATTAAGTTAGCTGACTCACTGCAGAACATGAGTTCGCAGTCTACTTAGGCCAGGACAAATTGCCGCTGGTGTTGTGTATCAGCTAATCATGACTGAACCCTGCAGAGTTAGTTGAAATGATGCTGATCACAATTCATCCTGGCCTAACCTAACCACTAACTTGTGGTCACACTGTGTAATCTAACTTGCATCTGCTCACTTTAATTTGCAGTTGGGTTCAAACACAATAAAACTTTATAATGCAGACAAACTGATTCAAATTGGGTTGGGTTGTACCAGTCAGCAAATTAGTATTTCTTTCCGAGACTGCCATCTTGTTCTCCAGAATAGGTGTTGATTTAAAATAGAAGAAGGAAGAGAAGAAAGTCTCTAGCTCTGGTGGCCGTGGTGGCTTTCAAAAGTTCTCTAGCTGTTACAGTTGCAAAGAAGGTATCAAAAATGTGAACCAAATGTAATCAATGCAGAGATGTCTATGTGAATTTGCAGAGAGCCTAGGACAAAAGCTCTGAGAGGTGGGAACTGCCCTATTCATGTTAACTTAGATGCCCAATAAAAACAGAGATAGGTGTGGCTTCATGAAGCCAAAAGGGCAGAGGAGAGGAGGGGAGCCCAGAGGGACATCTGAGAAGACCATTTTGTAGACCCTAGCAGGGCATCCACCATCAGGCACAGAATGGGTGGTCCCACTACTTAGTATAACTAATGGGGCGGGGGGGAGGGAAATTCCCCAGTAGAAAATGGCTGCTTTGTCAAAATGGAGATTTCCACAGGAAATGTCCATTTTTGATTACACATGCTGGATTGTTGTTGGAAAAAAATATTTTTAATGAAATTTTTCATGTAGGGAATAATTTCAAAAATTATTTCTGGACCAATTCTATTATTTACACGTCCATAGATTGATTCACAGACTCCTACTTACAGAAATTACTTTATACATCACTTTTGGATTGGGCCTGGACACAATATAACCTGCCCAGGGCCACAGAGGTGTGATCAGTATCAGAGACGAGCCTGGAGGCCTTAAACCCAGTCGTCTTCTCAGATCAAGATCATGCCAAGTACAGAAGAATATTTACTATAATTAGTTAAATAAATAAATTAAATAAAAATTGGTTGCAAATAATGAGCATAACAGATAGTGCCTTTTCTGTATTTAGGCTTAAACTGACCCTGACTTTCTGATCTGAGTAACGTTACTATAATCATAGACTGTGTGTCATAGGTCAGGCTCTATGATTGTGTCTTTCCTGAATTAATGTCGAGAACTTTTTCCATAATTAGCAAGATGTTGGTTGGAAGTCCTTACTTGGCTTTTGGCCATCAGTATCTGTGTCCATTAGTCCATATTTTAAACAGAACCAGGCATAAAAATGTCAATGAATTTTGCAAGTAAACACAATTTACTCTAGTTTCATTGATGAACAGACGTATCCGCTTTCATTCCTATCCAGTTTCAAAATATTAAGCTTGCAGATAATGTGCCAGTCAAAACAGCATTTTAATAAAGGCAGGCAGGCAGGTTCTCTTTCTTATCTCAATGAAGTGAGCTGCACTTTAAATTAGCTAGTGTGCGATGTTAGAATAGATGGTGCCTAAATGAGTTTCAATTATGTTTGCATAATAACAGGACATCCCTCTCAGGAGCCTTTAACAAGATTAAAAAATGAGCTTCCAGTTTGCTTTTTCCAGATCTCTTTCATGACATGTACCTGACGGTATGAATGGGCAAATAGATTAATATTTGGATTCTGGCGATACTCCGTTTAGGGGGTGCAAACATCTGGAGCCCGCCAAATGTGAGTATCCTCCAACTCCAAATATCTGTCTGACAGCCTTCCATCCCAAAAGGGCTTAGGCTTCTCGCCGCTCATGAGCCATCTGGGGGTTTTGTTAATGTCTCCAGGGCCCTGATCCTGTGAAGACTTTTGCATGAGCTTAACTTTATGCAGGTGAGTTGTCCCACTGCATCAATATTTTGCAAGATCAAGACCTTGAATCTTAACAAAGACACCAATACTAACAACTGTGCTGTTACATGTAGAGGTTTGAAGATTATTTTACTGAGTTCAAAATGTTTCATGATTTATCAAAAAATAAACAGGCCTTTTCTCCTAAATGATAATTCTCTTCCTATCTAAAATTTTACTTTATCTCTTCAACTAACATAGATAAACTGGATGTAAAAGGGATGGCTGCAGTGTTCCAGACCTGTATATTATTATGTTGATTATTCCAAATTTAATCTTATTTGTTTGTCATGAAGATCTCTGGTGCTCGATTTTGAGATTAGAAGTGTTAAAGAAAATGAAAGGGGAAACCACCTGATGCAGTTGCATAAATTTTAGTTTCCGAATTAACATCAACAAAAATCTATCCATAAACTGCAGCAGTATCTGTAGTAATACTCTCTTAATAAGGAAATCTGATTCTTTATTGTTAATTAGGAAAAGTAGATACTGGAAAACAATTTGGAATGAGAAGATTCATGTGATAGAACTGACTACTTAACACAGAATGGTACATTTCATTACCATTTATAGGTTATTGTGTATCTTGGTTTCTAACTCTGTTCTGTACCGTTGCTCTTTTGAGAGCTGGTTCTAAACAGAGATAATTGCCCACGAATGTGCACTGTCTTTTAATTTAACGAGTGGATTTGATCCTGAGACAAGGAAGGAAAAAGAATATTTTATTTTTTGGGTTGTAAGCTACTGAGAGCATGGATTGTCTCTCATGGCACCTAGTGCAGTAGAGCTTCAGTTGTGGCTGGGGCCTTTTGGTACTGTTGCAATACAAATAAATAAAACTGGCTCTATTGCCTACACCTTACTTAAGTTCTCCTTTCAGCTTGTATGATATATGTTTGGATAATACTTTGTTTATATAGACCTTTTATTATAGATCCTGTTTATCCAGAAGGTATCCCAAGATATTTCCCAGAGAGTATACAGTGCTACTGAAGTGCAGCCACCTCTGGGGTGGAGGGTGGCAGCTGACCAGAACATTGCGTGTTGCATAGCAGTGAGGTGGGAGGATTTTTTAATCAAGAAGATCAAGACAGTGCTCTTAAGAACAATGCATTGTGCTTGTTAATGTCTGTGCAGCAGTGTTTAAGATCTGGTCTGATAGTTCCTAAATACAATAAAATATGTCATGCTTCAGTGTATATGAAAGTTCTACTGTTTGTTTGTATTAAGCTTTGCCTCTCCAGGGGAACGAACAGATAACAGATGCAAAAGTGCAGGTTTCTGTGCTTGTTTGAAAAACTGTTGGAGAACAATGCCTCATCCCCATGTATATGCTATGGATGTCACAGCAGCAGACAGTTGTGTACCATTTGTGTCAATATGCAGGTTAATGTGACTTTGCAAGGAGCTAGAATTAACCCCCACTGAAGCTTTCTCTTTCCCTTCACAGGTTGTTAGTCGAGTGGCAGCACAGCAAGGATTTGACTTGGATCTTGGATACAGGCTACTGGCCGTATGTGCAGCCAACAGGGACAAATTCACTCCAAAATCAGCTGGTAGGAAAAGGCTATTTCCATTATATCAATGGTTCTTTCAGGGTCAAATTCTGAACAAATATCACCAAGTATCTTGCTCCATCATAGCTACTGAATGTGCTGGCCATGAACCAGGGATACCTGATGCTGGGAACCCCTGCATTCTCTCCAAAAAGTGTCACTCGCTGCCCTGGTGCTCCTCCTAGTTAGTGTTACTTCCAGAAACAAGGTCCTTAATATTCTATAACCCTGAGATGGAAAAAAATCCCTTAGGGAGAACCTATACACCCAATCCCACCATTTTAGTGAACTCTTAATCTCTCGCATTGCCTTTCTATAATGTGTCTATTTGTCTCATTCTTTCAAATTCCTTCTACAATCCTAAGTGTATCTAGTGTGGACTTTTTGTTGTGTGGGCCATAGGTGTCTGTATAAAAGAGTACCACTTGTTCTTACAATTTGTGCTGTTTGGTAGTATTCCCACCTATTCTTAACCTATATAATACCATGCAACCACCATTCCAATAGTCTGGCATACAATGCATTCACTTCTATTTTACCACAGCTTTCTACCAAAGTAGCAATAATGGACCCTTGACATGTCACCATTGTGTGGGAGAGATGAAGAATCCATTGTTTTGTGTCTTTTTGCCGCACTTGCTTACATTTATTTACTGTGCTTAATTTTCACCTCTTCTCTTAGTTGACTAATGTCAATATAGCACACACAGTCTAGGAAAATGAGCAGATAACTGCTCCTTTTCAGAATTGGACATACTTAATTGTATTGCCTTCGTGCTTAGTATCGACTGCCATGCCACCACAGTCACAACCTCAGCAAATGTTACCTCCTTCCAAGACAATAATTCTTACAGTGAACTGATTGGATCCTACCACTGATGCTTATTGGTGCCAAACTTCCATTCATGGGTAACTTTTGCCTTCAGTGTTCAAGGCAGTTCCTTATCAAATAGTGGGTCATGCCTTATGTCATACTCATTGACTTCACAGATTTGCCTTTTGTGTGATTACCAGATTATTAATTTTGCTAAATGTCCAATAAATTGTACATGATTTTCACTCCTCTAAGCACCTCCATGAAATATTTATTGGCTCTCAAAATGTTCTATCCAATTTATTAGGCATGATCTCCCATTTGTGAATTATCTCCAGTGATAGCTATCTGTTCTTTCCCTGATTAATCTTATCAGAGGCTTTTTAAATCCAGCTTTGTGTGCATTAAGATTCCTCTATTTCTAAATATGTTTAAAATAGACCTACTAAAGGTGCCGTGTAATTTCTTTTGCAACTTTTTCCTGATGTGGATCCCATCACGGTGCTGGCAGAGGGAAGGTTGTCAGTCTTCAGACATTTTCATTTCTTGATTCACTTTTCTTGCGTAGTCTTGACAACCTCCAGTTTTTCATTCCTTCTAGGGAAATGTTATGTCTGTGTTTGGCTGCTGCAAATAATTATTTTTTAGTCATATCTGTCTTCACTCAGTGCATTTCCCTTGCAACCCCAGAAAGGTATTGCTGTCTCTGTCATTAGCTGCTTGTAACTTTATGTATTTGGGAGTAAAAATCTTTAATTTTTAGCTTAACATATGATAGTAAGAATCTTCTTTTCACTCTCCTCCTTTGCTTACCATTTCCTACTCATGTACACAGCTTCATCCTTTAATTCCAATGACCTGAGGTGTTTGCTTTGACACGTGCCTGTTTTGCCTTGTGTTTCACCAATAATATTTGCATTTCCTTTTCCATAAACATCAACTTTTCACAATCGCCCTTGTTACCAAATTTGCTAGAGTAGGAGCATAACCATGGGCATCTATTAATGAATCTGTGAAAAGTCGCATCAGTAGACGTAGTCCGTGCCCAGACGGGCTTATGTTCGCATGGCAGACATGTGAGAGCTACTACAATAAGTGGGGAAATTGGAAGGTGGGCAGACCCGAGTTACAAAAGCAAGGTCACTCCTAATCATTCTGACAGGAGGGGTTCATAGTAAATTCCAAATATCCTCACTGCTTTATGGTCTGTTAAGCCACAATGATTCTACTCCCTCATGCAACTTCCGCTAAGATCTTCTGTCAGTTTTTTCTTGACACTACCTTTTCTCCTTCAGCGTTTTCTCTGGATCTTTCTAAGTACTCTATATTCCTCAGTATTTATAGCTCCCTTCATGACTCACTTCAGTTATTATGTCAAGAAGTCTTGCATGTGTAGTTTCTGAATAACATTTTCTTTTTCCCCGGCCTGGCTTGTTGATTTTCTTTAGGACACCTTCAAAACTTTATCTGAATGACCCCCTTTCCTACTCCCAAGATGTGCTGATGTATATCCCGCATGATTTTTTAAAATCAAATAGTTTTTTGGAGTATTTTCTTTCTCTGGACTTAATGTTGAGGAATGTGCAAGGGTTTGAGTCCATTCCTACAAATTACACTTTAATGTTATTAAGGAAAGATACTTCTATAAATGCTGTTATTCCATATTGTCCACCACTTTGACATGTGAGATAAGCAAAATTTCATTAGAGAGAGGTAACCAGAAATTGTTGAAAACCCCTCTGCAGCCCATAGTTTCTAGATTACTTATTTGGTCTAAAATGACTATGACCCTCATTTTTTATGTGTAAAAATCCAAAAATATGAGATGCAGTGATTATTAAATGGTTCGTTATGTATCCCCTTTCTATTGTTTCTATATGTGTTACATAGAAATCATTAGGAAAGTCAAGTGTTGCCTTAAAAAATAAAGTTGTTCCCATTAACAGTAATTTCTTGCCAACATCTTTTTATAAGTTAAAGTGGCTTAGCTGAATCTTTTTTAAAAGGAGGTTCCAATTAGAAAAGTAACTGTTAAAATTGCCCTTACTGCGTACTTGCTGCGTGTGTATCCCCCAAATCATACCTGCTAACGTTACTGAAAACCTCTTTTGTGTGGGTGTGTTAGAGTATTGCCATACAGGACATACAGTTCTCGGAGATCAAGCTGGGGTATATTCTGACTCATGCATCAGTGGCCAAATTGTAAGCTAATTTCTAACGGCAGAATCTTTGTTACTGGGATGATGTAAGTGGGGAAAATCATAGCTTGATTTTCAGTTCTCAGATTTAGTTTGCAGAGCTGATAGTTAGAATAAACATCTTTTTTTACTTTTAAACTGAGCAAAATTAATCTGGATATAATTGAGAGGCTAGATATGGTACCCTAAAATAGCCTTTTTACAGAGGCATTTTCTTGTATTTGCAATCCAATGTCTTGAGAGCTGAAGATCTGCTTTTTATTATTGTGCATATTTTGAACTTTTTTCCCTTCATGAGTTGGAATTGCTTTACTAGAATCAGTCACTTTGTTATAGTTAAAGGGGTTGGTACTGGCACTTCCTGTCAGTTAGGAAAGTATTTCCTTTTCAAGGAGTGTCTTCTTTACAGTTAACACGGAGTCTTCATATACCATGGTGAGACTCCAAATGACTTCAGTGCAAAATGGAATTTTGGAGAGCAAACTTATCACATGCAAATTCTTAACGGTCTAAATTGATCCATCTATTTGTTGTAATGCAAAGGGTAATATTTTAACAGTCTTGTGTTTAAGAAAAAGTACATGACTGTTAACTATTTGCCCTTCGGTAATGTTTTTCATATTAGGATCCCAAAGCATTTTGCAAGCATTAACTGTGGGACTAGATTTGGAAGATGTGCAAACCCTTAGTTTATTTAAGGGTCTGGTCTCCCTGTTCTAGTATGATAGCTCCCCTTAACAAAGAATGACTGGCAAATCGGAGAGGCACAATACCCGAGAGCTCTAAACCCAGAGGCTCCACAGCGGTTTGTGAAGTACAGACAAGAGAGCAAATGTTGGGACAATGCAGTGGAATGTGTAGTGCAGTGGTTTGTATTGTGTAGGCAGCTGAACAGTTGGATTGACCACCAGACACACTGCAAGAACGTTGCGTCCCAAAAGACCTGAAACATCCTGGCTATTATCTTTGATTCCTTCTGTGAAAAGAAAGTTCCCATTGGCTTCAGTGGGACCAGGATATCACCCCGATATATAAATGGGCCTTTTTGTGTATCACAATACAAGAATTCTTGCAATACACAAGTCCCTCACTCTTGTAGAAGAAGTGCCTAACAATTTACACTCGTATCAAGTTCACAATAAGGCCAGAATTGGAATTTATACTGACACGCTCCACAGTATGGTTGAGGGACTTCGAGGAGGTGGTGTTGGGAAGCTGGCACTGTTGCTGTTCGTGCTGCAGCTTTTCTGTGGATGAAGAGAAAATTCATTCTGCCACTTTTCACAAACATTAAATGTGTTTATAAAGTTCTGTTTCCCCCCATGCCCCAACCCCACCCTGAAAAAAGAAAGAGATTATTGTTACATTGGCAATAAGACAATATGCATTCAAAAATGAGGGTGCCAACTGTAAATATCTATCCCATTTTCTTAGAACTATGATTATTTTTCCTTTTTTGGGGAGAGGGGCAGGTAAATGGCATACCAAAATAAAATTAATTTGCTAAACTACTCATTGAGTTGTGTATACTATAGGGATGAACAAACGACTTTTTGCCAGATAACAAGTGGCTTCAAATGTCAATCATCTCCAAAGTTTTCTGGAAGCTTGGATTGGTCCAGATCAGTGTCATTCACTGCCTCCTCTCCTCTCTAAGCCCTGCAGCCACTATGTCTTTCCTCTCACTACTCTAGGGTGACCAGATGTCCCGATTTTATAGGGACAGTCCCGATATCTGGGGCTTTTTCTTATATAGGCTCCTATTACCCCCCACTCCCGTCCCGATTTTTCACACTTGCTGTCTGGTCACCATACACTACTATTCCATCCCCCTAACATTTTAATTTGGGGCAAATCAGTTCTTAAGTTTTCTCTGCTTAGCTCTGAATTGCTGCCCACTGGATTTTAGACCTCTCCATTGACTTGTGTCCCAGAGCACTGTGTATATGTGGTGTGCACTCTGGAGGGTCCAGTCATTGCCAGAGTAA